AAGGTAACTATATGAATCTTAATGATTTTATGTTTATGAGTTTCTGAATTAAATGTTTTAGTGGCTCTTTCAAATATTATGATGATATATTAGATATTGGATATTTTAGTCTACCGTCCGACCTTCGTTCCCACCTCGTTTATACGAGCTTACCGGACCGGGTCGTGACAAGTATCTCATCATTACAAACTTTTTCGAGTGTCCATGTATATAACGAGAGCCAATGGAGCGTTCGTTGCAATGCACTTAGCTTCTAATGTCAATCATGCCTGATTCTCGTGATAATGAGGCCTTGGAACCTTAGTAAATTCTTTAGTGTTAATATATTTGCTTGCCTTCTAAGATAGTTCTGAAATTGTTTCATGCATATTCTTCCCAACTGTATATTTGAATCGTACACCATGGAGTCTTTAAACTAGTGCCAATTTAGTGTATAAGGGATCGAGATCTGATGACTCAAAAATTTCTTGCATAAACAAGATCATGAATGCCTAAGATATCCTTTTTCACCCTATTTAAGCAAAAAAGGGTGCGATAACTTTTTCTTTAATTTATGGAGCTTGAGAATTGAGCAAGGACCTGCTTTTGAAACTCCTTGTGATATGTGATTAAGGATAGAATTTTGACAAACATCTGCGGCATCCTTTAAGGTCATGAGTTGGATTCCTCACTTGATTTGGTCAAAGATTGCAAACCCCAATAAGTTTTCTAATGGGTTAATTAGGTTTTTATACAAATTTAAGGGGCTATAAACTAAGAGGGAAGTGGTTTCCCACTAGGAAGAAAAGTGCAAGAATGAGATATTTCATCTACGAGAGAGTGCAGGAATGAGATACTTCTTCTAGTAGAGGGCATTCCACATGGTTGTGGACATTTGATCCGTTAGGTTGGTTGTTTAGTGTTAAGCGTGTCATTTCCCCAACCTTTTAGATGTTAAAAATAGCAAGCTTTGCACATGGAGAGGCATTGGATGCCCAATCGGTGTTGAAGGTTGCCATCATTCCCATCATGGCATAGAGCTTAAGGTTCAATTCATTGAACTGAGCCTAAGTCACAAACTCAACTGCAATTGATATCGCATCAATTGTCCCTTACTAATGATGTTCCTCTTAAAGCACAAAAGCCAACCATATCCTCTTACTAATCGGCTCTCAAAGTGTCATCGCTCAACTAGAGCACCAAAAAGGATGTTATCTAAATTTGGGTAGGAGTTAATAACGAAAGTCATTGTTTATGTACATAGGAAAATAACAGTCAGATAATTCAACGAGTAAGATGCTGTTGATATTGAGGGAAAGAGCAACAGAGAATAAATAAAGTTTTCTTTGAAAGTGGAGTTACAAAACCCCAAGAGATGTTCCCTATGTGCCTAAAAATCAAAATTTCCTATAATGAGGTTCTAGGATTAAACTTGCTTGTAGTTCACACCCCTAATGGCTTACATTTTCTTATATTCACCATTTAAATGGGACCTCCTTCACATAGAAGGATGTTCTCCCTTCATGAAAGGAGTATGAGATCAGCTACTTCAGCACTTGTATTGATAATTCAAAGATGATATGATTGCACTCTTTCAGTATAGATAGATGCCACATATTTGATATTTAATTTTTATGCATTGCATCACCCTTGAGATTTCATATCAAGGATGTTTTCTGACAAAGGAGGCATTCTCCTGAAATTGTTGGCAACGCCTTGTATAATGGAGATGACTTTTAGCATGTAGATAATTGCATATATATATAAGGATGGCATGTCTCTTCTATCAACCAGCACCATATCTAATTATTAGCATTGATTTGCTTGACTAGTGTAGGGCTAAGCATTCAGAATTTGCAATAAGAGATTGGTTGAGTAGTAGTGTTGTTAGTTGTCTTGGCCGCCAATTGATTCGGTCTCACTTAGTCGGCTCCGTACAACATTTGGGCGTAGTCACCCAGGACATTCTCGGTGAACCCTTCTTGGGCATTAACTCAGCTAAGTAATGGTGTAGGCAGGATTATAAAAAACTGTGTCAAGCAAATCCTCTCAAGTCTGCTTTGAAACTAGTTTTTATATGGTCTCCTTTCAAACATATTATGCCTTATTTGAGTTTAACCAAGTTGAACACACTTATACCTAGTGCATTCTATCCAACTTGAATAATTTGGTATGACGATATGTGCCAGTCATCCACAAATGCAACCTTATTGACTAGAGTGAGTAATATACCGACTGCTTGCTAACTTAAGAGAGAAATCGAGGACTTGATTTTGGCTAGCTACTTAATCGTAGACAACTAAGGATCAGTAAATCAATTGAACTGAACTTTATGATATTCAAGCATTAATGTCAAAGTAGCATTCAATATTAGGAGGATACTTAGTGATCAGCTATATAGCACTTGACCATACAAGTTTACAATCTGATGTAGTTGGCTATGAGGATGGCTCTTATCTTACCTAGTGAGGGAGCTATTTTTGTCAATCTCCCTATCTTAAACACAAAAAAGCATGAAAAGTTCAGGAACATCCATTGTTGAAGTTTTTAATTAAATAATACTCCTACAGACATTGTTGGCAACTATTATATGAGAGTACTTGGAAACATTTGTAAGATTCAGATTGTTTCATAGGTTGCTCTTAGACCATATGGTGGGTATCCAATGATCAAGAAAAAAAAGAGTGTGGCTAAACCAAGGTTTTAAAAATCAAATTGAGACAGCTGGTTTGATTGGTTCAACTGTGGATCGATTATATGGCTGGTCTAGTCCATCTTAAAAATCGACTTTGCATCGAACCAAAATAAACCGTCAAAATTGCAATTCAACAGATGAATGGGCCGATTCAATTGTTGAATTACTTAAATAATTAAATAAATTAATTTAATATACTCAGGATAAAATATTAAATTTAACATATTTTAATTTTTAAAAATGTATTAAATTCCTATAATAATTGTTTGCCAAAAAAACAACAACCAAGCATTCCATCTCCCTATACGAGTTTCTAAAACATGCAAACCCAAAAAGTCATATAAACAATGCTAATAAAAGTTCCAAAGTGAAATGGGACTAAACAAATAAATTAAAATTATCATGTTCATAACATATACACCAAATATTATCAAACTGATTTTTAATTAATATATTATAATGCGAATAATACTTATTTATTTGTTAATAATATTTAATTAATTTATTTATTTATACACTATAAAAGGTAATTTTTTATCTATTTACTAATAATAAATGATCTAATATGAATGATTTATAGATGTAAATTTATAATGTTAATTTAAATATATGTGTGTGTGTAAATTATATTTAAACTTATCATATAAGTTTAAAATAATTTAGATTATATGATAACTAAATTTATATTAAATGAGAATTTGATTCTTAACAGGACACAATGGAGAAAAAGGTTTCATGTAGCCAACTCCACGGAGTGGCATAAAGGCTTGATGTTGTTGCTGTATAAATCAAATTTAAAAATTTAAGGCATTTAAATTTAAATTTTTATATGATATTATTTGTGTATGAATTATGTTTATTTTTTAGTAATAAATGAAATCACTGCATGATTATTATATTATTATTGTCATTTAAATTTTATTTAAATAATTTTAATATTTATCACATCATCCAATCCAACACCAATAGAATTTAACTTGAAAATCTTCTTTCTTCCTATTCTATGTTCGGTCTGGTCTTCATAACCTTGGACTAAACTCCAATGAAACATTAGACGGGTTTAAGGTGGCTAAGGCTTCCTGAAGAAAATCAAAGAATGATAAGCAAATCCATAGATTAGTCACGGCTAATCATACAAAAGCAAAAGCCCATAAATAATAGTTCAAAATATACTATATGTACCACCAATGAAAGTAATCGAGATAACAAGAATTCAAAATTTTTTACAGGCTGAGGTTGTAATTTTAGGTATGTTCCAATGGCCAATTCATGCAAAATCAAAAGCCCATGGCTAAGCAGCAATGACAAAATAAAGTATCTAAGAACGTAATTAAATCCTTTCCTAATGAGCATGGAAGGATGGGAAATAGGTTAGCACGGAAAAGAAAATAGTTACATTGGATAATATAAGTGAATATCATCTATACTTATGTTATACACGTGGAGTAGAGCCAGACCATCAAGTATGTTGACTTACGTACTATAAAACTATTTTTTAAGGGAATCAGTCTAAGAAAAGTATTTTTTGATCTTCATCCTTAATACACTTCACTCCATATATACTATAAAACTATTTTTTAAGGGAATCAGACTTGATTCTAATAAGAACTTGCATATATTGTAATGCTAAAATCTTAATAATTCCTCATTGGACGATTAACACCCCCCACCTACTTGGATCTTCCTTATATAATATATTTAATTTTTAGCTTAAGAAAAATAAATGTTTCATAAGAAATATGGGTTCTAAAACTCAAATGAAACCGCAGTACAATATTGCTCAAACCATTAGTATGAAACTCAACTACTTGATCCCAGCATCAAATCTGAAAAACTTGTAAAACATTGGTTTCTCAGCAAATAAAAATAAACTTCATACTAATGTATTTATTTTCTTAGAGAAAAAAAAATCATTAAAAGATAATGGTTTTTTGCACATAACAATGATGCTTAGCAGCCAATGGCACAAAAGCAAGAAAGCCTGGACCAGGTTAAAAAGTGGTGGCATAATTTAACATAAACGAATTTTTCATTTAAAGAAACTAATTTTCAAAATAGCCATCGTCAAGCATATTAGAGCCAGCCGAACTTTCTTTCTCTATATTAATCATATAAATGTTTTCTCTTTCTTTTCATTTCCTACAAAACCGAAAAGCTAATTTACTGGCTTGCTTACAAGGCAGGAAACAAAAGGAGAAAAAAAATTTTAATCAGTAAAAAAGGAGGGCTAAACTTCTCCCTTTAAAATATTTGTGATTTTTTTGTCATGTAAAGAAAGGAGCAGGATGGAATTTTATAAGTTGAACAATCAGGATCTGTGACGTACCCAATCTTTGCAAGCTCTTGTAGAAGCAAACCATTCCCAGTTCCAATGTCCAATACACTCCAACAAGACAAACGATTAGAGATATCATCTGATGCATATTTACCATTGTTATCAACTGCAATCCGATATTGGGGCAAGTTAAGACACAAGCTTTTGGTCCATGCCACAACAGTGTCCATGACTTCAGCTCCAAACCTACAGAGAATGACAATGTTAATAGACTGCTGAGTTTTGTACTTACATTCCCCCTGAAAAAGATTTTAGAAAATGAAAGTATGGATAAGATGCATGCTTTTAGCTAGAAGCCAACAAAGATCTTCACCAGCAAACATGTTCAGTGGAAAAAAGCAATAAGCTATTTGTATGTTCATTTAAGCTAATAACACTCACTTTAACACAAAAAAGTCAAAGACAAGACAGGAGCAAATTGAATAGACGTCAAAAAAAAAAAAAAACTGCAGCTGACAATTTACATAAATAATGTGAATAATGGAGTAAGCAGAAAATCCACCTCACCCCCACCTACCCACTCAAGATATCGTGAGTTACCACCTTCTCTCTAATAGATTTGACTTTGAAAAGTAAACAAAAAGAACAAAAAATGCCTTGCTTGGTAATTTCCTCAGTAAAACTCTTTCCATAGTGTGAGTTACCCACCATACTTCACCAGCGTGGCCATGTTCATGAAAATTTGCAAGATCATCTGCATAAGAAGCATCCCAATAACTTTGTAAGCCAAGCATTGATGGCTCGTCCTCATTCACATCTGGCTCATCCTTATCTGAACTGCATCAACCATTGCAAACAATAAACAATTGCTACAATATTCTAAATAAATCTAACAAATGATTTATTAAAAGTAGAGGTGCTTTGAACTAACAAGAATCTAAATAGTAATTTTAGGAGTGTCAAAGTTAGCATAGCTTATAATAATAGCCATCATCAGAACAACTATACAAGAGAATATCAATTAAACAAGAATGTTCAGAATCCCCTCAAAATGGATATTGTCCAATTTTAATATAAAAAATTAACTATAAATAATTAAATCTTCTTTATCCTTTCACAATTCTAATTTGCTAGAGAAGTTGTGCTGTAAAAAAACAAAATGTGCCTCATGCAAAGAATTTATTTTAAATATGGCATACTTGTTGTATGCAATAAACAATATAGTAAAAACGTAAGGATTGTTTGCTAGTTTCCAGCTGATATTTAATCCATCAAAAATTTACAGGTTGTGTAAAATATTTTTTAATTGTGGTTGGAGAAATAGAACAGTGACGACACAACTGGAAGCTAATCTTATGCAATGCAAGACATGAATAACAAAGGGGTTCAATTTTGATAGTCAAGCATCTATGTTATGGTCCTTAAAGTTGGACAGAAGGAAATAGTTCTAAATAGGAAGTTATGGTTCTTCTTACTATATTAACAATCTGTTTCAATCAATCCCTTAGGATGATTATGAATGAGCTCCTTGACATAATCTTGACACCAAACTATACACAGCTTCTCCAAATGATACTATGATCAAAATATTAAATATTGTGGAGCTTCTTCAAACTATTTTCTGAACAACCCCAAAGCTTCAACTTATAAAATGCTTGGTTCAGAACCATCCCAATAAAATTTTAAAAGCCATTCTCTTAGTTTCGCAAACCAATTCTAACATCTATTAATTTGAAACAAACCACTTCAACTAAAATCAGTTCAATCACCTAGTTCGAGTTAGTAAACAACAACAATGGGATGAGTCATATGATAAAAATGTTTGTTAAAAAAAAAAGACCGCTGCTTCTAAACATGGAACTGGTACAAATCTAATCAACAAAATGTCAAACTAAACTGAAGGAGAACAAGAGATTGATAATACAATCAGAACAATAAAATTTATTAATTTTTCATTTCAAAGAGTATATAAACTATGATGCACCGACACTTCTCCTCAAAGAATCATGTAGTCCCACACGTATCGAATGCGACATGCGTCTAACACATCTTCAATACATATCGGTCACATAAAAAATGTGTCCGATAAAAAAATATAAAAATAAATTGGACACGTATCCAACATGCATGTCTAAAATATTTTATGAAATTTTTTATAAATATAATTTATTGTCACAAATTTTTATTTATAAAAATGAAAATTTAATTTCTTATTTCCACTCTAAAGCCTCAAATTAATTGTCTGCACTCAATACCGCATTTCCTAAACAATCTCAATTTCTTTTATTTTTTTATTTTTTTAAGTAGAGCATAGTAGGACTATGATCTATGAGTTCAACATGATTGGGTGGATAAAGAATAAACCAAGGTCTCATTGCAAAAAGAAGAACACAAGTTTTACAACTCCATTCAAAGGGAAGTTGGAACATGACAAGGAAAACTTAAAACTTCTGCCATATGTTAACTAGAAAGTAAGACGATAGACTCATCCTTACAGATCCTACACACTCAAACCTGGGGGAAGAGATTGCTTGAGCTTATCAGCCTTCTCAAAGTCAAACACACACAAAGTGTAAAGATACCTTGAGCATCTAAACTTGAACTTCACAAGCTGCCACTACAACACTCGAAGCCAGCTCAATATCGACTTCCAATACCATCACAACATAAGCATTTCAAAATCATCTTAAAATCAAAGTCTGACGTTGTGTTGACATTGACGCTCGACACCAGCAATTTCTAAACTCACAATCATGCCCTCATTCAATCTTGACATCTCATATATCTAATATTGTTTTAAAATTCACAACCAATGATATCTCGAGATTGAAGACTGACGCCATCTTGACATTAATGCCTGAAGATCATTACACACAACGATGCCCGACTGTCAAGAGCATTGTCGTATCCCCTCTCAATGCCTAACATGACATTGATTGCCGACTCTCGATGTCCTAATACTAATCATTTTAAGCACAAAAAATAGTTAAATTACTTGTTATTTTTAAATTATTCTTAATATTTTGCTTATTTAATTTTAATACACTATTTTTAATACATAAAAATTATAATACAATATCCAACTCATGTCCATATCCTATATTTTCAATAATTGACATGTCTCGTGTCCGTTTCATGTCCATGTCATCGTTTCCATGTCTGTGCATCATAGCATATACATTGTGATTAAAGAGAAGGTCCCACAAAACAGCACACTTTAACTTAGTGAAGGAAATAACCAACAGGGAGTTTAGCGAAAACAGATTTTTTAATCAATGCAGTCTGTCATATGATAGACACAGCATGCAACCAGCATTCTGCACGGACATGCAATAGTAATTCTAGCACAGACAAGTATTTCTCCATCCAATAACCACCTAGACTAACATAACCCAGAACGCCCAAATGTTGCTATATCAGAAAAAAAACATCTAAAGTGATACAGACCATATTTAATTCTAACAGTCGTGTCGGCATTAAAAAATAGCTTCCTAACCGAACATTTGAATGTGTTCGAACATGAACAACCCTCTAAACCCCTAACGAAGCCAAATACAATCGAACTTCTCCAGCTTCTACGTGCCCTAAAAATTTGTGAGAAACCTAGCAAACCCTAGATAGATATGACCAATTAATCCGAAGGAAATCAAACGAAAACAAAGAAAGAGACCTGTAATCGGAAGCAGCTTGAAAGTTTCCACTGGAGAGGACTTCAGCGGCATCAACGTGGCGTTGATCGTCGTCAAGCGTGCTCCCGTACTCACTCTTTATTGACCATGAATCTGCAGCCACCGAGCGATCGTCGTCCGAGATCAGATCCGCCGGAGCCTGTGCCCGCGGTTGGGGTAAATCCGAATCATCCGGAGGCCACCTTAACCCCGCCATTGATAGCTGCAAGCGATTGGAGTGCCGGAAGCTGGAATGCCTATCGCTTTCTTTTTACCCTGGCTACTTCCCTTCTTTGTCGACGTCTCAATTGTCGTTGGAGGCTTTGAACACGATAATCGTTTGTTATGTTTGGTCCACTTTTTTGACTATAACAGTTATATAAATAATAACAATATTTAAAAAAAAAAACATTACATTAATTTAATGTCATATTATTTGTAATATTCAATAATAATTTTTAAATAAAAATTTTACTTTGTCTTAACAGATTTATTTGTCATGATTTAACATTATAAAATTTATTATCTGTACAACTTAAAAAAATAGAAATATAATGTAAGAAATTCAAGTTATTGGACACTAATTTTGGAGGTCTTTCTAATTTATGGGATTTATATTTTTTAATTCTATGAGGCATTATACTCATCATTTATATAAAGAATTTAAAAGATAAAGGAATGTATTAATTTTTCTTCTATAGTCGGATCTGATATTTTCTCTTTCTTTTCATCTGATTCATTATTTTGAACTATAACAATAAATGGGTTTTTTTTTATTTTATTTTCAACAATATTAGACATAGATTGCAATTTCTCATTGCATCTACAACCTTTAATATTGGCTTATTTGTAAAAAAATAATGACTCGACTATATTAGCAGGCAGGGAGGAACCGATCTTAGTATTTAAGGAGGGTAAATTTATAGTATATATAAAAGATAAAAATCAAAACAAATTCTTATATTGCATTATAATTGTTATATATCAAAATTATAAGTTTTTCATTCTATTTTGTATTTTCTGACAAAAAGAAAGAACTAAAGAAGATGCTTCTACAGCTACGAACATGCAAGACGGACATGATGACTATAATTATGAACGACAACGACCGTGGACGCATAAGTGGTAGTTGGTCACCGGCAACCAAGAGGGGAGAGGCGAAGAGCTACTTACAGCACGAAGAAGAGAAAGAGGGAACCGGGAGGAAATCACGAGTGCTGACTGCGGAATGCGGCTCTTTCACTCGTATGGGGTGATTAGGACAAAAGATGAGAATTAGGGGGGGGGGGGGGGGGAAACCCCCGAAGCAATCCCCCGAAAAAAAAAAAAATCGATTATATGATTATTTAGGTAATTTGTCCCCCTTCATTCTATTTTTCGGTTATATGAAAATTACATAACAAACTATTTTAAAAGCTAAAACTTACAATGTGGTTCATCATAGAGTACATAAAAGTTAAAACCCACATAATAGTTTATTTTAAATTTAAAAACTATGGACCATCCAACCATCTTTGTTCGTCAACTACAGTCCCTCCGATTAGAGTTACCAGACTACTGTCTCTCCAACCTCCATCGCCCACTATGGTCTTCCCAACCAAATGAACATGACAATGTTCTCTTTAGAATAACTCTCATATCATTCAATTTTTTTCAACCCCAATATCTAATATGTTCTATATTTTTTATATTGACCAACATCCCCCCCCCCCCCTAAGGAAGGAGAAATTATTGTGTACGCAATCCGAACGTGTGCGTACACACTGCTTATTTTGTTGCGTATTTTTTGAGAAATAATTTTTTCGTGGCAAATAATTAGCAAATAAATAATACTCACTAACTAAGGAAGGACATCATTTTTAATAAGCAATAAATACTAGCTGATCATTTTCAACTTGACAAAGCCCCATAATTTCTCCATTTTTAAGGTTTTCCACATACAAATTCTGATATATTTATGACTCTTGCACCCTTTTTTTTATTTGTATGTGTTGGATTTTCGTTCAAAGCTAATATATTAATCTCTTAATATCTATTGTTGCGAATGTTCCACGATGCAAAAAATAATTATTAAAAAGCTAAGAACAAACAAAAATAATGTTTTGAAATAGAATATTATTTTTATTTCCCCCCAAAAAGTTGGTTATTAAAATGAAAAAAGTGAACCAAACATTAAAAGACTTGCAAGCAACCTTTAAAGCTACACGTAAAGCCAAGAGAGAGAGAGAGGGAAGGAAAACGGCCAAAGTGAGAATTTTTTTTTTTTTTTTTACGAGGAAGCACTGACCAAAGGTCAGTGAAAAACTCAGTCGACTTAGCATGCAACTCACATCAATTTACATGGGTCAATACTGAGATTTGGGAGTATATCAATAACAATGTGATATATATACAAAATTAATAAATAAAATAAAATAAATTCATTTGGTCAGTGAGAGCACCTGCCCCCATCATAGCTCTGCCACTACCTGAGAGCGTGAGCCCCCACTAACCCATTACATAACAATTAAAAATAACAAAACAATTAATTTTAAAAGCTAAAACTTATAATGAGACCTAAAATAGTTGATTTTTGTAGAAATAAAGGAAAACGAAGAACAGATACAAGAAACAGAAAGATGTAAAAGTATTATTAATTCACCTATGCGTACAGAAACAATACAGAGATACTTATAGACCTACAAGGTAGCTAAAGGTGTAAGCAGTCAATAGTATGCTGACACCTGTACAAACGAATACAAAAGGCTATACAAAGTTACTGTTTATTTGTCTGTTCTAATATGCTCGGGCAAATTGATGGGTCTTGGCTGACCGTCAATTTGAGTCTGAGGTGTTGAAAACGAGGAGTAGACAAAGATTTGGTGAAAATGTCAGCAGTTTGGTCGATGGTACTGATTGGATGTAGTCGGATATTATTATTCTGAATTTGATCTCGTAGGAACTTTTGATCAATCTCAATGTGCTTTGTGCGCGAGTGGAACATAGGATTGTTGGCAAGTGCTATTGTCGCAATATAGTTCCGTCGGGTAGTCTTGAGCAATCCCGAAATCTGTAAGTAATCTTCTTAGCCAAATGATGGCCACTGTTAATGCCGCAAGAGCCCAATATTCTGACTCAGTAGAGGAGCGAGACACAGTCCGTTGCTTTTTAACTGTCCAAGAGATGAGCATGTCGCCCAAAAATGAGCAATAGCCAGATGTAAATCGTCGTGTGAGTGGATCGCCGGCCCAATCTGCATCTGAAAAGGATTTGAGAATCAAGTTAGTTTTGGTGATAGGTAATCTAAAATTTAAAGTACCTTTGATATATCGGAGTAGTCGCTTGAGCATGTAAATATGGAGCGGTTGAGGATCATGCATGTGTTGAGATAACATGTTAACACTGAAGGCGATGTCCGGCCTAGTTAGTGTTAGGTACTGAAGCGAACCCGTTATACGCCGATACAGGGCTGGGTCAGCAAGAAAGGGCTCGATATTGAAGGTAGTGGGAGGCTTCGTGCACATTGGATTAGCAACAGGATTGTACCTGGTCAGATTAGCTAAGTTAATAATAGATAACGCATACTTAGCTTGGGAGAGAAAGTAGGTGTTACTGAGTTTTTGAATCTTTATGCCCAAGAATTCTGTAGCTTGCCCGAGATGCTTCATTGCAAACTCAGTGCTGAGTTTATTGAGAATGGAGCGAATGCAATCTTCGTTGTTGCCAGTAATCAAGATGTCGTCGACGTAAATGAGCAATAAAATTTGAATCGTATCTTGCCGGTATATCATGAGAGATGGGTCGGCCTGATTATGCGAGAATCCAATAGAAACAATAAATGAGGTAAATGTGTTATACCATTGTCTCGGAGCTTGTTTCAAGCTGTAAATGGCTTTATTTAAACGATAGACATGTTTTGGAGAGCGGTATCTTGAAATCCTTTAGGTTGAGACATACCAGTCATGATAAAGAGCGACCGCCAGTAGTATTTTGATTGTAGGAAGCTTTGCAACCGGACTAAACGTTTCGGTATAGTTGATATTGAATTCTTGGTTGTTGCCTTGTGCAACTAATCTGGCCTTGTGTTTAGCAATATTCGAGCCATCGGTGTGAAATTTGGTACTGGTACGTCCATCTTGATCCTAGAATTGAAGCATTGCGGGGTGGGGGAACAAGCGTCCAAGTACCTTGCTTCTGAAGAGCAAGAAATTCACAAGCCATGGCTTGTCTCCATTCCGGTATCTTAATAGCTTCAGTAAATGAAGAAGGGGTCTCGTGAGAAGTACTTGAATTTTGAACGTGAATGAGATTCAGCCTTTGAGGAGGCTTGATGACACCGGTTTTGCTTCTGGTAACCATGTGATGAATGGGAGGAGGGACAGGGTCAGGAAGCTGATCTGAATTAGAAGGAGGATGAGATGTCTTGGCCGAGACCTCAGGAGTTGGAGTAGAAGCAGAAATCTGATTGTCCGAAGAGGTATGGTTAGAATTATGCTGAGAAATTTTGTTGGTGTGAGAGCTAGCGGAAGCGGGTATTAAGAGAAGAGGACACGGATTAGTAGAAGGTGAAGAAGAGTTGTTCGGGATTTTGGAGAAGGGAAACTCGGTTTCATTCAAGGTTACATGCCGGGACATAATGATTCTATTAGTAGAAAGATCAAGGCATTTATACCCCTTGTAATTGTCCGAGTAACCCAGAAAAATACAAGACTGAGATTTCGATTGGAGTTTATGATTAGAGTTGATACGTCATCACAAAATTAGCTTGATCGGGCACGAATCTCGAGGCAAAAAACTAGTTGGAGACTTCAAAAATTAAATCCGGGAGCATCCAAACTCCGATTTCAACGAGCTTACAGTCAAACTGAGCGTCTCGGAAATACGAACCCAACGACACCAAGATCGACCCAATCCGAGCCCAAATGGGTCCGAATCATGGACCCGAAGTGCTGTCGGAAGGTTCAAACCGCAATTTGAGTTACCAAACGGTCTCCGATTTTGACGAGCTTATACTCGAATCGAACGGCTCGACGAGACGAATCCAACGAGCCCAAGATCACTAAATTCCGACATCATTAAGGCCTCCAAATGTCCAACGAACGATGCACGATCGTAGGATTCAATATCGGTCGTCCATTTGACCACTCCCTATTCGCCCTTGATCTCACACCTATTTACGGACCATGCCACTCCAGAAAATCTATAAATAGAGCCCTCATTCTTCACAAGAGGGCATCTAAGCAAGAGAGAGAAGAAGAGAAGAGAAGGAGAGAGAGAAGGAAGGAGTTCCTCCTCGACAGCCGCCGGACCACCGCCGGACCACCGCAGAACCTCGCCGGACCACCGCCGGACCACCGCAGGAATCT